ATTTCCCAAACTTTCACTATGTAATCTCTATCCCACTGTTGTCTATTAGTTCAATTTATAGGCAACCTTAAAATAAATTTAGGAAATGGACAGAATCAATCCCAAGCTTGAATCTTGAGATTGGATTCTACCCAAGCATAATCTTAGGATTTTGATTTGGTCCTGATTAAGTTTGTCAATTATTCAAACTTGATTCAGCATTAAAAAAATTTGACTATGAGATTAGATTCAGATTTTCATTTCCCAAATCATGATCGTGATTGAGAGAAAGGAAAGAGATTAAAACAAAAATAAATAATAATAATAATAATAATAATTATTATTATTATTATAATATAGTAATTTTTTACAATTTATTTTATCAATATTTCATTGATAATACAACAATAATTACTGACAAAAGAATTCTATCAGTAAAATTTTATCGGTAATAGAGATATTTTTAATAGTGTAAAATTAAAATCAGTGGTAAAATATATATTTGGATGCAAATGCAAAGGTTGCGGTGAGGTAAAGTGTAGTGTAGTGTAGTGAGAAGAGAAAATAATCATTAAAGACATCATATTAAAATTTGTATATAATAACATTTTTTGTCTATTTAAATTTATGAAATAATAAATTATTAAAAATTATTAAAATTATATTTCTATTATATTTTTAAGATTAAAATTGTAGTTATTTCTCAAAAGATAATAATAGATTTATTCATATAAAAATAATTAATTTTTATTTTAATCCAAAAGTCTATTAATAAAATATTTTTATGTATATCTTGATATATTTAAAATGTTAAAAAATTTATTTAATAAAAATATTGACACATTTTTTATATTAAAATAATAATTAGGATTTTAAATATTAAAATTGATATATTTAAAGAAATAATACTTATAACTATTATTCATATTATTTTTTAAAAAGTAATAATGAACATATGAAATATAAAATATAAAAAAATAAATTAATTTAAATATAAAAGCTTTAAAACAAATAATAAAAAATAAAAACTTTTAGTTTGAGGGATATTTTAAGAATTAAAATATAAATAATAGGGTATTATGGTCCAGGCTCTTAACGTTCAGTGCAAAAAACGGGTCTAGTGAAGTGAAACAAATCCAACTGCCCCGTACTTCGTGATATCCAAATGAGTTTGAATGGTGCAATTGCACCAAAATGCTGCAGAAATTTCATTGCACTGATGCCACAGTTGAATCCAAATTAGACCTGAATCTCTCTTGGTGTCAAAGACCAACTTAAGTGCTACTTCTGATAATCTATTTAATTGATGCGGCATCTCATCAATTTCATTTTATCATCGTCCTTTTCTCCATGTATGGCGATTCAGTTTTTCTCGTATAGCATTTTCTTCCTATTGCTATTCTATCTGTGACTGATCAATAGATGACCAAAAACTCCACATATCGAATATTTCACCAAAAACTCGACATATTGAATATTAATTTAAGTGTTGCACTCTTTTTTATTTTTAGATTAAAATGGATATATAAGAGTTAAAATATTTATTTTGATCTAAATCTACGGTAAAAAAAAGTATGTAATATTTACATTAATGTAAGTGGATCTATCTTATATATATATTTGGTATTTTAGGCTGTTGGGGTTTAATCCATGATCATTGTACCTAAGAGTTTAGTACTACACTAACATACTAGGGGAAAGATTTCAATAAAATTCCTTATATCAAATTTGTAAAATTTTTTATTAAAAATAATTAAATCAAAACTAAAATTAAAAATCAAAATTGATAGATTAAAAAATCTCGTTACAAAGATTAAGTTTGTAATTTTTGAAAAAATTTTAATAACTTTTTATGTATATTTTTAGATAGATATTTTTAATAAAAATAGTGATAGAATTTTTATCATTGAATAAGTATTGATTAAATTTGAATTATAAATAATATTTTTAATAATTTTTTTACATATTATTAATTTTCATATTTAACTCTATTAATCTATTGGTTAAGATGTTTTATGAAAGTTTTTATTAAATTATTTTTTAAAAAAAAAATTACAAATTTCACTTAAAAATTTCATATAAGTTTTGTGTAACATACTAGTGCCCATAAAATTACAAGTATATTTACATAAGAAGGATATTCATTCTCTGCGATAATTGCGAAGACTTCCAATCGAAGACAGCAGGAACTTAATCAGTGACAGAATTAATATACGCAGTCATTCAATCTAAACCTATTTTCTTACTTTACATTCTTCATGTGATATTTCAAAGGTTTTGCTGCATAGTCCATGTTCTTGCTTCTATTCAGTGATGTATTTTTCAACTTTTCTCGGTATTACCACTTTACATCTGAAAATAACTGTTATATTACCGTTACGTCATTGCCTCCATATATTACAGCCATTGAAGGCCCTATTAACATCTTTTATAACGTTTAGACAACATTTGGTCATATTTCGCAAGGGATTTAGGGTTTTGATTGTTTGGTATTCAGCCTCAGCAATCTTTGTGGTCTTATACTTCCTTTTTTTTAATTGTTTGAGGGATTTAATTAGAGTACCACTTGTTCTCCAGAGTGACGAAAAATATCGATGCAGTGAGACAGGATATCGTGTACCTTTCAAATGTGTAGAAATTACCAATGATGTTCCGAAGACTGAAAATAAACAAAAACCTGGAAAGAGTATCTAATCGTGAAATCCCATTTAGCAATGAAAATTCTAGAGAACAAAAGCCGAATGTGTAATGAGAACAAAAGCTAACCTCCGTTACTATTTTACTTCCTTTAAATTTGAAAAAAAAAATTCATAGTAGATTGAGTATACTCCCGCATTCTCTTACTTTTCAGCTAGCCCTGTATTAATCTACAACTTGCCGAACCCGTGTAGCCCTAGCCTTAAATTAAACCCCTAGTTATATTTGTTATGATTGATATGTCTAATTTAGAAGTTATAAAACGGAGTGCATCAAATCATATTGTCAACCAAAAGCCCCTATCTATGAGATAACTGACTGACTGATGTTACTTATTAGCATATTACGCTCTCATTCTTACACAGACAGACACACATGTAAACCAAATGTAGGCTAGTTCTGATATTGAAGATAAACAGCTTGTACTTAGATGATTATATGTCATTGCTGATGCATATACTCCAAACTGGTCTGTGCAGGGAATTATCTTTGGCCTGCTGTTTGTTAGTTGTTCAGTTGTGTTCTTAAGAAGAAAGCAGACCATTACCATGCCAGGAGTTGCAGCAGGGAGGATCCAGCCTTACTATAGGTTTTGATTTAGAAGGCCTTTTCATATAAAACAGACTTTGTTGATAACGGAGGACTATGAAGTAATTTAGTATAGAATTAACGGCAAAGCATTCACTGTTTATTTGTTTTTCTTTTTTTTTCATCTTGCATTGAAATTATTAAAGTGATTTTCCCCAAATGTAATGGTGTATTTGACTCTTGATAGTCCTGCAATCATTGATCGAAGCTTACACGTTCTGACGGTCTCTAGTCATTAAGCAATGATAAAAAGTTCCATTCATACTGCTCCGCTAGAAAGCTGCTTAGATGCGACTCTGAACTTGTTCCTTCTGTTCTTATTCCGTGAGTCTTTGTTATTGCTCTGCTGTTTGTGTCTTTATTTTCTTGCAGGTGGCAATTTTGTTTGCGCATCCTTGGCTTATGTTGTGGACTTGTCACAAAAAGGCATTAGTCTCTACAAAATGCATTCTTACACAATGGAGTGCCATCAGGCATCTGTGAACTGGAACCACGCCATTGAATGACATCTTTTTGTTTCTTTCAAGCAGGAAATGGATTGACACTTGACTTTGAATAAGCTAGTGCCCGACAAAAAATTGGAATTTCATTCTTGATTGGTCTGCTTCAGCATATTCCGAACTTGGCCAGAAAATAGAAACCAGGATACTATGTTCACTTTATACTCTTTCAAATTGCTTTCAGTGGTGTAATAGAGACCTCATCCACAACGCCGGAAATCATACTACAACTCGTGTAAGTTTTATTTTGAGCTCTGTTTGGTAATGAAAATAACTTCTCCAAGTCATTTCCCGTGTTTTTTAATGTTTGGAATGGCCAAAATGATATGGTCAACCAAAAATAATTTTTGGTCAACAAAAACTAAAGAACAACTTGTGGAAATTGTCTTCTATTTTTTTCAACGATAGACAAATATTCCACGCGATCACATAACTCTTTGCACGCAACTTTTCTTGACATTTGCTCCCAACTTTTCTTGACAAATCCACAGAGCCCTCTCAAATCTTAACCCTTTCTAACATCACCAGCAGCCACCATTAAACCCACAAATCTCTAATTCTTTACTTTCTTTTTTTTTCCCTTCCCTCGTCCTTTGTTTTTGTACATATCTTCCTTTCCTGCTAAACTCTTGCTCCAGATCCAAGTTGTGCTTCAGCTTCAAATCACTCTTTTTTTGCTTTTCTTTTTCTTGCGTTTTGCCCTTAGTTTTTGCCTTCCTATTTTATGCCGCATTTGTTGATAGCCCTCGAACCCAGGATCTCGAGAATCTATCCGTCAAAATCAAGTAAGTTTCATCCTCAGCTCGAAATCATTCTCATCAACTCGTGCAATGCTCAAATCAAAAGAAATTATATTTCCAGCTACTACCAGCTCCATGCCATAGTCACCTTCAAAAAGATCCATCAGATCCAACACGAACCTTTTTCAAAACCAACAGCTCACAGACTCCTGTTTTGATGGGCAGTTCAAGTTGCAAACTTGCTCTAAACATCAGAACATTTTGAAGATTAACCAATGGTGAAAAATATTTCTTCATAACGTGATCCAGTGTCATCCAAACACCAAAAAATATTTAATTATCTAAAAATATATCTTCCACGGAAAATATTTTCTTCAGGAAGCCAATTTCTGGTTACCTATAGAAGCCTTGGTGTCTTTCAAATTTCCTTCTGTAATTCAAGGGAGCCAAACAAAAAGATGTGACACAACCTCTCTGAAAAAAATAAAAATAAAAATAAAAAATAAAAAAGGGATCCTACTTTCTATCTTGAAAGTGCAAAATTACAGAACAAGATGTAACATGTCATTGCAGATTCCTTCCTGTGAGAAATATACAAGATAACAGGCCATTGGGGCCTTCATCAGTACTGCTATGTGATTCCTGAGCACATCAACAAAGCAGCAAGACAAACTCCAAATCAAAGAATGATGTTGTCGATGAACCTTAACTTAAAACAACAAAAAAGCCTCTCGCTTCCAAGATACATCTACAGTGATACATCAGCAAACGGGGAGCTAGAAACAGCTAGCAGAAGTGTGTGTATATATATATATATATATATATATATATATATATCTTACAAAAAATAATCAGGAGTCTTGCGTGTGGTTTCAGGTTCAACTTGCCGGGGTGCTGGATCAAACTGAAGAAAATTCTGGTCCATATTCTCCCCAATCTCTAAAATTGCAGCCATGTTCCCACATCGATAACAATAATTTGGAGCACTGAAGACAGTAACCACATTTTTTTCCTGAAGGAAAGCACATAATAAATAATCAATATATATAAAAGCAAATCATATTAAAAAACAAGGCTAAACTGTTTCCTTTGGGTTTCACACCTGACACCAATTGTATCCTTCCATGACAAGCTGATGGGCTCGTGAAATCAGAGTGAGACCATTTGTATGGTTGAACTGAGCAGCAATATCTTGTCCAAACGTATAACCAGCACCACGTGGAGATATACCCCATCCACAGCGGTCATCAGGATCAGACCACAAAAGATCACACATTGGTCCTTCATGGGGAACCTGCCCATGAATAAATCCACAAAATACCATATTATACATTCAAAACGTCCAAATAATGAATGAAGATCATAAATTTTCAAAATAATGCATTAAAGATCTAACGCAAATTAACTACAAAATTCCATTGGCACCCTTGACACCAAAAGAAATGATAAATTTTAATACTAAGATCCAAATTGTTGGCCATTTTCTCAACTGTCCTATCATTCATAATCTAACAAACTCTTCATGCTTTTAATTGATTTTAAAAGATTCAAAGTACATGGCAAATTACCAGTACCCACTTGGACAAGAATAAAGGTGATTAACAAAAGTTAAGAGAATAACTTATATGCAAACCTCCTGTATACGGTCCAATGCTCGAATATTGTCCAACGTGTCCAAAGATGGTGAAAGTCCTCCATGCAAACAAAAGATCTGTGATGTCAAAAATCTATGGCTGTCAGAAGCTGTCATGATGATAATCAACTTAAACAGTCTGATATGAGTTAAAGTGAAACCTGACTCTCAATAAGAGCTGTGAGTGGTAAATAATCAAACAGGTCGGTAAAATACTTCCATACATTGGCATTTCCATATTTTCTCAAGCATTCATCATAAAAACCATACCTGAAAAAAGAGGGGGGGGGAGGGGAATCAAACCTTTAGAAATACAATAATATAGCAACCCCATACGCCTCATCATACAATGTGAGCAAGTTCTAAATACTAATAATCAAACTCCTATGATTTCTCAAAATTCTGTATTATAAATCAAACACCAATATAATTGCCCTTTTCTTGGGTCACCTGATCTTTGTAACTAGTGGCGAATGTCAATTTTGACATCCTTATCTCTATCTATGCATTGCTTCAGCCATGGCATGTCAGCCACAGGCCTTTCCAAGGCTTTAGTTAGTGTGATTTTAATGTTAAGAAAGTTGAATAATCATCCTAATCAGATTCAACTCAGCTCAAATTCATGTAAATCAATTTCATCTTGTAATACTAGACACCCAGCAGGAATATGGAGCATGACACTTACCAATCATGTCTTTTCACACAAGTATAATACTCAACAAGAGTTATAAATGTGACTGAGCAGAATCAGCAAATTGGTTAAATAAGCCTTTAGGCAGCATCCAAATAGACATGCTATATTGTTTTCTCCGATTGGAAATAAAGAAAGTAAGAAATGAAAAGCATGCTGAGAAAAGTGAACCAGGGAAGAAAAAAGGTATGGTGGGGAGGGGGTCAAAATAAAGAAACTTAAGAAGTGAAAAGCATATTAAAAAGGGAAAAGGGGGGGAGAGTGGGTTTGACATCACAAGTGCAAGGTGGTTTGGCCCCCATGCTAAAAATTATTAGAAACATGCTCCTTGCATATCATGTTCCTGCAAGACTAAATTGAGAGCATATCATCAAAACATTGTGTATTGCCAATAATAATTTGCTAACTATCAAATAATCATTCTGATTTGTTGCATGAAGGATTTTATTAATCAAAACAAGAACCCCCTCTGTCATCCATGCATGCATAAACTCACATGCAGAGTCTAGATATGTTAAATCCTACCACTGAAATATTAAAATAGCATTAGTCACTCTGTCAAATATAAGAAATAACTCCAAGAAGAATGATCAACTAAACTTGCTCAATTACCAACATATACAAATCAGTTAAGCAACACCAAATTTACATAAATTATTTCACAAATCACAAAAATCAAACAGGTCAGAGATTACTGAATGATTACCCAATCAATAGCAGAATAATTATCCACCCAACAGCACTATTGGATAATTTTAAAGCCAAATTAATTTTCTTCTTGTCCTACGCAAAATGCTTAAAATATATGGAAGGATAACTAATCATAATATGTGGAGAACAGTTGTCACCTTTCCCCATGGGCAGGTAGAATCATATCTTCAGCCTTGAAGGGAACAGAACTCACAACAACTTCCAAAATGGAGATTTAATATGCGACAAACGGAAAACAAGATTTTCGTTTTTTTTTTTTTAATTTCTGAAAGGGCATAACAATTCAAAATAGTAGGGGAAACAGGCAACATAAGACTGAACCAATTTAAATAAAACACAGAACACATTTTGAAAATTATTTTAGAAAGAATGCATCACTGTTATCTGTGTTTAACATTACATTGCTCTTCATAAAGCAGGGGACTTTTTAAGTCACTCAACTCAATAAAGGCCAAACAAGCAATAAAGATACTAGCTGGTATTCGAAAGTAAGAATGAAACCTTTGCTTGGTGATAAGGATGGAAAACTTTTCCATCCAATGGTTAAGTTTTGTAACAATTTTCCTACTTCATAACTTAACCACTGGATTAACAACCTTTTCATTCTTACACCTTTCCCCCCTTACTACCAAGCAAAGCTTAAATGTTGTTTTCTTTGTCAGTGTATGCTATGTCATTACTAGAAGAAAGGTGAAAGGTAGGTGAAAAGGTCTTACACTTGTGTTATTTGTCGGCTTTCGTGATTTCCTCTAAGAATTGTGATTCTATCTCTATAACGGACTTTCAGGGCCACTAAAAGTGTGACAGTCTCAACTGAGTAGTAACCACGATCTGCACATATGAAGCTAAGGTTAAAAGAAATCCCATTCCATTCATAAATATAAATCTGCAAATAGCAGCAATATTATTTGATTAATAGGAAGCACAATAAAATGAACTAATTTCTACCCACATCTCACACCCCTCAAACATCTAAAAGCTTAGACTAGGTAGCTACAACTTAATGCATATAATAATTGACACACATAATGGCAAATATATTCATAGAAAAATCCCCTGAAAAGAGGCACATGTCCTAACTTAACCGCAACAAAAATTTGGTCTCATAGATTTGAGAAAATACAACTACTCTCCCTCAGAGGTAAGGAACTAACAGAGCACAGTTGTCAACAGTTTAGACCAAGCTGGGCAAGTATAGACCAACAGTTTAGACCATTGCCAACCCAAATTCTCAGGTGCATTTCATCTACAATTCTTTTTACTACAACCCTAAAATTGACCAATCACAATAATGAATTATGTAGGCACCACTACTTATAAGTGTAGGCTCCCTATAAAATTTTGATGGACCTCACAGTTCTGAATTATGATTGGTTAATTGCAGTGCAATGATTGTAGGTGATATGCTCCCCAAATTCTCAGTAGTTTTAAGCATCTAAGGAGCAATACTAAATAGTAAATTTATGGCAAACTTAGTAACATGACAATAGATCATGTAACCATTGAAATTGATACAATTTAAATATAATAATCCACCAATTTATCAACATATGAAGATAACCAATGTCTCTTAAAATTTAAAGTCAAGCCAGGAAAGGGGAAGCATATCACCTACAATTTTTTTTACTACAATGCTACAATTATTCAAATAACATAAAGATTTATGTAGGGGTTCACCACTTATAAACGTGGATTCCATATAAAATTTTCATGAACCTTACATGATTATATATTGTGATTGGTTAATTATACTACAATCATTGTAAGTGATATGCTCTCCAGGAAAGGTCCGTACCTACAGATCCGATCATATGACACTCCATCAATTAATCCACAAAATTTTCACATAAAATAAATGAAATATGAATATATGATGAAAAATAGCAAATCAAAAAGCAAACCACACATATTCAGCTACAGAGACCGAAATAAATTCACCAAATATTCTTCACAATAGCAAAAAAGAAAAAGAAAAACCGCCTTACTCTTAAATCGATCACATCAAATTTCAAATAATCCGACAAAAAGTTAAAAAAAAAAAAAGAGAATCAAATCAAGAAGCAAAGTAACTAACTGACCTACATAATCTCCCATGAAGAGATAATTAGTATCAGGCGCATTGCCTCCTATCCGAAACAGCTCTATTAGATCATAAAATTGTCCGTGAATATCTCCACAAACCGTTACCGGACACTTCACCGGCTGCACGTTCCATTCCTCCACCAGTATCGCTCGAGCCTGCTCGCATAACGCCTTCACCTCCGCCTCCGACAGCGGCTTACACTCCATCAGATGCTCGATCTGACGGTCTATGTCTCCCTGTGACGGCATCCTCTCTTCTCCTCCACCGTCCGATCACCTGATCCCCCCTTCCCCTTGACCTTCACCACTGACCGTACGGTCGTGAAAATAATAAACAAATAAAACCGGTAAGATCGGTTGATTCCAATCCGTGAATCGTTGGGGATTAGGATTGTAACACGGCGCTTCGGATATTAGGTTTTGGATTCGTTTTCGATCTATGTTTCATCTCTCTTCTATTTTCTCCCGAACAATTTTATCCCTTTTTTTCTTGTTTGGAGAGGGAGGCTGGGATACAAAATTTAGGTTTTTTTAACGAATGATTTATTTATTTATTTTTTCATTTGTTGTAGAAAGGGAAATGCTGGAGAGAGCGGTGTGAAATGAAACTCAAATGCAAAAGCAAATGAAATGGCAAATTTTAGCCCCCTTTTTTTTAATATTTTTGTTGAAATTTGAAATTTTTTTGCAATAATTGAAATCAATAAATAAATGTTGGGTTGATCGCCAATATACCAGGGAACAAAAGAGCTTTTTGTTTCTCTCCGGTAGCTACGCCGAGTCAAAATCCTAAAGGGAAACGACACGTGACCATTAGCTGCTTTTCTTTGAGCTCATTTTATTTTATTGGATATTTTCGATGTTTTTTGCAAAATATAAGTTTCTACTACTTTTATATATATATATATATATATATATATAATTTCAACTAAGCCATTAGTCAAGGAATGGTTATCAAAGAAACTAAAATCGAGAAATAGGGATACGTTGAGAAATTAGGGTTTTATTTTTTCAGTTGTGGAATTAGGTTGGGTTGGGTTTGGGTTTACGGGAGTATGCCATTTATAATTATTATAATTTAAAGTTATATGAGTTTATTTAGATTTTTTATGAAATTCATGTTTTTAAATGATGAATTTATACATAATTTTTTTATTATAATTGAATAATTATAAGATTATAATGAGAAAAATTAAAATTATTATAATTAAATAATTATAAGATTATAATGACAAAAATTATAAGTCAAATATCCCTTGGATTTACATGGTGATTGTTGGGTTTATTTGGTTTGTTAGTATTTTGGATCACTAAAATTTTTTTATTTAAATTTTTAAGTGAGAAAACGATAATGTCATATTCGATTTTTGAATTATAGTAAAATTTTAATGTGATATTTTTATTTTAAAATAAAATAATATCATAAATATATTTTAATTAATAAAATATTTAATGTAATCCTTAAATTTTAAAATTTTTTAATATAATATCTAAATTATAAATTTGATAAATAATATAATATTTAAAAAATTATTTATTTATCATATGTAATCATTTATAATTAATCATGTTAAAAATAAATGTTATATTAATTAATAAATTTATAATTTAATACCATATTAAAAAATTTTAAATACAAATATTACATTAAATATTTTATTATGTTTTAGAGGTATTCATAATATTAATTCTTTAAAAATCTTTAATATAATTTCTATATCATGGTTCCATTAATGAATATGGTATCTGCCCCTGACACTAGTAACTTTCAACGACGATATGGACGTTGACCAATTAAAAGATGATGGGTGACATAAATTTACCATGTCATCAACTTTAATCAAATGTGGCACCCACATGCATTAGCATGTCAAACTTATGATGCCACATATCATAATTTTAAAAAATATAAAAATATATAAAATTTTACTTTTGAAAAATAAAAAATAATATTTTAAAAAAGGAAAATAGATAGAACTATTTTAAAGTTAAAAATTGAAAATCTTTAAACTAACAAATTTTATATTTGAAAAATAAAAGAATAAATTTTATAAAATTAAAAAAATATTTTTAAAATTAAAAAAATTTTAAAGAAAATTTTAAAGGTAAAAATAAATTTTGAAAAAATAAAATTTTCGTTTTTGAAATATAAAATAAAAAATTTTATAATCTTTTTCTTTCTTTCTCATCGCTCTATCTCCCCCATACCCTTCTAACTATTGATTTCAACCAATCACTAATAAGATCTAATTGGATAAGATTGAATCGAGCATCTATAAGGTAGTCCCTAGTGCATATAACATTTTTCTCAAAGTATTTTCTTGTGATTATATTATACTTTCTTGCTATCACGTCAAGGATTTAGAATGATTGTTTGAAACTGAATTTGTACAATTTTATGAAAGATTTTGAAATTTTATTTAGATTTAATATTTTCCTTCAATAAAAACACCAAGACATTTGAGTATGATCATTATGAAACTTAAATCATCTTTTCCTAAGAGTTTGAAAGGTCTCGAAGGTCTCAGATGTCACTATTAATTATAGAAAAAGGTTTTTATGTTTTAACTCATCAATTGTCAATTATTTTTAATTAAAAATTAAAAAAATTGAAAGCCCTTTTTTGCTTAAACATAAAGAAATTTTTTTTTACTAAAAATCCTCTTTTATTTTCTTATTTTATCATCTCTTAAGGTTTTAATGAAAAAAAAATTCTATTGAAACTTTTTGAAACTCATTCTAGTTTTTTATTGGATTAAATATAAAAATGGCTCCTAAATTATAAACTTTTTTTATCAATTTAGAGTCTAAAAAAATAAATTTGTCAATTTAATATTCCAACTTTCATTCTCACAACCATTTTGGTATATAAAACTATTATTATCAATCAACTTGTTGATGTGGCATAAATATCTAATAAAATACTGACATATATTAAAAAATTCAGTTAACGTCATATCGTCAATTGTTATGTCAGAATTAAAAGAATTTTCTTAAATTCTAAAACATTTTAAAGATTTTTAAAAAAATTTTAAAAAAATAATTTTTTTGAATCAAAATAATTTTTAAAAAATTATAAAAAAATTATTAAATTATAAAAACTTAAATTTTCAAAAATTTTGAGAATATTTCAACTTTTTAGAATTTTTTAATTTTCCCTAATTTTTTAAAATTTTAAGACTTTTTAAAAAAATTTTGGATTTATTAAAATTTTGAATTTTTGAATTTTTTTTAAGTTTTCATTTTTTTAATAATTATAATTTTAAAAATATTTTATATATTTTTTAATTTTTTATATATTTTAAAAAATATTTCTAACTTTTTTTAAAAAGAAATTATTTGAATATTTTAGAATTTTAAAATTTTTATTTAATGTTGATGTGGCAATTGATGGCATGACTTTTGCTAGACTTTTTTAACATGTGTTAATATCTTATTGGATATTCATTTCATGTCAACAAGTAAATTAAATATGTTAGTTCAAAGTACCAAAATGATTATGAAATGAAAGTTTGAATACCAAACTGACAATTTCATTTCTTTAAGTACTAATTTGATAGAAAATATCTAATTCATGGGCCATTTTTATATTTAACCTTTTTTATTTAAAAAGTAACAAAAATCTCATCCTAATATCATAAATAAATCTTGGGTTTACATATGAAAATTTTGAAGCTAACTAATAAATTATAAATGTAAGAACAATTTCTGGAAATATCTAGAATACAATTTTTAGAAAAACTCTAAAAATTTGAAGAAATGCTCTAATGCGTGTAACAGTGTCACTTTTGTTAAGATTTTATTTACCTTCATCATATAATTTATTTATTAAATGTGCAAAAAGATTGAAAGCAATAAAGCTTTAGATATAATGAAACCTTATGAGTGGTTACATTTGTATTGACAAATCAATCTATTAAGCATTCATCGGTATATAACAAGATTATTGAACTTTTATAAAGAATTTTTACAGTAAAACATTATAGAAAAAATTTGAGAATGATTTGGAGGAGTGTTCTAATAAGTTGTTTTTGTATTTTTTTTTTTCATAAAATCATGAGTTTTTATAATATAATTTAAATATATGTTTATTTTTACAAACATAACTCTTTACCTAAAATTATATGTTTATGCATACATAACTCTTTATTTTGAACAGATATAATTATCTAGATTTTAAAATTCTACCTTTGAATTCCTCTTAAAGTTTTACCCAAAAGAATTCACTTCTTAAAATCTCAATATTCATTTGTTAAATTTCATCTCCCACTGAACTTGATACACTTTTCAATCTCCTTCTTAAATAGTCAAATTCAAATATCAAAACTACCTAAAAAGATTAAAAAAAAAAAACTAAAAAGATATTGATCGACAAACCAATATTTAGTATGATGTGTGAATTAATAAAAAAAAAGTTTCATTTAAATGCAAAGGAAGTGAAAGAAAAAAGAATTTCATTATTGTGGAAGAATTTCATGATTAAGGATCGATGAGTAACATGGGCACATCTCTAGCCTTGCAATAACATATTGTTGTAGTGTGTGTTAAATATGACTTGGTACGGAGACTCCATCTTATATAAGATTGGCAAGATTACCTTAATCTATTTTTTCTAGTTTATTGGTTCGATAGAAAAAGAAAAAATAGATAATTTTCTAAAAAAAAAAGAGATAAAATGAAAAAAAAGGACTAAAGGAAAAAAAAAAATAAAATTAAGATAAAATTAAATATAATATTTATGCTATTTAATAAAAATGATATGTCATAGTGTTCTTTTAAAGGATCATGTGATTTAAGTGAGTGAGTTGGTCACGGGCCTTTTATAAAAAATTATCATGATGTATCAAATTTGAAAAACTTAAATTCTAATTTAACTATATCAACAAATTATACGATTGTTGGATTGTTGGTTATGTAAAGATGGTTTATACACGAGTTGTTAGTTCAATGGAACTAGTTCAGTTTTACTTCTTTTTGTTCTGTTTTTTTCTCAAGTAGTTTCTTTTCTTTTTCACATGAAATAGAAAGGGTTTTTATTCCAAATTTCTTTCTTTTTCACCCGAAACAAAATGTTTTTTTTCAAATATCTTTTTTTTTAATTCCACCTATTATGTCATGCCATCTAGTATTTTTTGTCAAATTAAACGATTTTGTAGTTGGAGGTACTACTATAGCATTTGAATTTAATACTTGCCTTGCTACATTGCGTTTTAGCACTTTTTTATGCAATTGCACCATTTAAAGTTGTTTAGGTAATAATCAGTGCAATGGCCAACTACACTGGAGCACTAATTTTGAATTAAAGGAAAAAGGTCCTCTTAGCCACTACATTAAACCTTTTTACTAAAATTCCCCTATTTTTTATATTTTAGTTAAATATTTTGTATTTATATTTAAATTCATTTATTTTTATATTTTATATTTCATATGTTCAATATTATTTTTTAAATAAATATAAAAAATAACTAATTGAATACTACTTTGTTAAATTTTAATTTGTGTAAATATATTATTATCAATTTTTTTAACAAAATTATTATTTGATATAAAAATAATTTTAAAATTTTTTAATTATTTATTAACTTTATAAATGAAAATTAATTTAAAATTTTTATTATACACAAAATTGAATTTAATGCCCTTAATGGTCATTTTTTCTTCTCATTACAATTCACTTTATCATTACCATTGCATTTGTAAACAAACACATATCCAATCACTAATTTTAATCTCACCGACATCAATATTTTTAATCTTACCATCAATTTAAATGGACCCTACATTGGTTTGCGTTTGGGTAATTGAAGATCCAATTAAAACTTTTTGAAGATTAAAGACCAAATTAGAATTTAGCCTAAAT